GAACACGCCATCGACGAACAACCTTGCGGTTTGTTCGCCCGTAACAGTGACGGGAACTGGAGCAAGATGTACCATCTTGCTCAGCCGACACACGAACACCAAAATTCCGGTGTTGCCGTGTCCGTCGGCGGGAAGCCCAAAGATGAAGTCAAGACTCATCGACTTCCAACAATTAGCCGGTACGGGCACTGTAGTGGAGCCGAAGAGTGCCCTGCGGGTTTGACCCGCTGACATGTTTCACATGTTATGACGTACCGGGCGACCCACTTGTACATGTGGGTCCACCAGAAGGACTGAGAGACCGACAGAAAGGTCTTCTCGCGGCCCAAGTGGCCGCTGGAGGGCGCGTCATGCGCCTCCGCGAGGATATCGAGCTTCAGATCCTCGTCGTTGGGTACGACCACCCGTGGGGGATCAGTGGGCTCCACCCGGTAATAGAGGAGGCCCTCCTTCAACTCATATCGGTGGAGCCGTGAGCGCTGTCGCGACGAGAGCCAGTCGGACTTCGCGCTCGTTACGGCCTTAAGGAACTTGACGATAGGCGCGACAGCCTCATCGTCCCGATACGCCATGCGTATCCGATCATATAGATCCGTTGTCACCCGCGTGATGTGGGCCAGCTCATAGTCGGGACGCCGAGAGAGGGCGTCCGCAAGCACGTTGAGCTTGCCCGGCTTGTATTCGACGCGGAAGTTGTATTCCGCGAAGAAGGACAGCCACCTCGCCATCCTTTGGGAGAGGTGAGGCGAGCTAGTCGCCGTCCTCAAGGACGCGTGGTCTGTGTAGATCACAAAGGGCCTAGAGCCCAGAAGGTGAACACGGAACTTCACAAGGGCATATTTCATTGCCAGGAGCTCCTTGTCATGGACAGGGTAGTTCCGCTCGGCGGCTTTGAGCTGCCTGGACTGGAACGAGATGACTCGTTCGTGTCCAGCCGTGTCGGCCTGCAGCAATGCACATCCGATGGCGTAATCGGAGGCATCGCAGACGACGCTAAACGGCTTCGTCTCGTCCGACAGGGCCAGGACAGGGGCCTCTTGGAGACTAACCCTTGATGCTGTCAAAAGCATCCTGGTGCTCTTACTCCCAGCGCCAGTCGATGTCCTTCTGAAGGAGACTCGACAAGGGCTTAGCGAAGCCCGCGTACCTTGTGCTGTACTTGTGAAGGTGGTTGGCCAAGCCCAACCACTTTCGAAGATCCTTCTGGGATCGGGGCGTCGGCCATGCTGCTATGTCCTTGACCTTGTCTGGATCAGCCCGAACGCCCACGTTGCTGACGAAGCAACCGAGAACTTTAATCTCTGGTGACGCAAAAACGCACTTGACGATGTTGGCGTAGAGCTTGTTCGCTCGCATTACGTCCAACACTCGACGGAGGTGACCTAGATGCACCTCCATGGCCGTCTTGCCTCCCTCGGCACGGCTATGGACGAATATGTCGTCGAAGTACGTCTGTACGAAGGTACGCAAAGGGCGGAACAATTGCGTCACCAGGCGATTGAACGTCGCCGGGGCGTTAGACAAGCCCTGCGGCATGACGAGCCACTCCCAAAGCATGCCGCTTGGAGTGCTTACCGCGGTGAGCGGGATGTCGCTCTCTCGCATCAGGATTTGGTAGTATCCGTCTACCAAATCCAGCGCACTGTACAGTACGCTCCCGGCCATGTTGTTCAACAACACATCCTTTCGTGGGATTGGTGTTTGGGCCGGCACCGTTGCGTTGTTCAGCTTGTTATAAGCGTGAACCAGACGCCACTTTCCGTTCGGCTTACGAACGCAGAAAGTCGGCGTCGAGTGCGGGGATTTCGACTCCCGCACCATGCCTGCCTTCGCTTTCGCGGCGAAGGAGGCATCAATGACCTCGCACTGTTCGCGCGGGAGAGGCCATTGTCTCGTGACACAATACTTTGTGCCGGGCACGAGATCAATCTCGTGCCGTACGCCTCGATCCGGTGGGAGTTGGGTCGGTGGGTGTTTGTTCACCACGTCCGCATACTCCGTCACCAAAGGATACACCGGATCTTTGGGGCTCTTAAGAATCTCAGAGCCCAAACGTGTCTGACGCTGCTTGTTCAGGTCTTCCAGGACGCTCTCGTCCAAGACAGAGGAGGAGTTCAGCTCCTTCCGAGTGGCCTCAGGTCTCATGAGTACCATCTCAGCAATCTCTCCACCCTTGAGGTTGGTCAGAAGAGACTCAGCCGTCATTTCCTCGAGGTTCCGTATCTCTGCAACCTCTGGCAACGGTTCCAAGTGGACACCAGATGTCTTGACGGGTAAACCGGTCTCGCCAGCGAAGATGTGATAACACGCTTCCACCGGCATTGTCGGAGGAGCCCGGGCCCTAGACTCCGAGTCGCTTGAAGCGACGTTGTTGACGACGGAGCCGTGATTTGAGCTTTGCTGCCCACGTCTAGGGATGTCGGCGCTACGACATCCAAGGCACTCGTGGCCTCGTGTAGTACCGTGGTACCCACACAGGAAGCGTGTTCGACGCCTTCCTCTTCAGTTAAGGTCTGGGCGACCGCGTGTGGAACTCTGTTACCCACTCTGAACACGCTGTTCTCAGTGCTCGTGACAGCTGCAGCTGTCTGCGGAACTAAGTTACCCGCCGGTGGACCTAAGTTACCTACTTGACCAGCGCCTCTTCTGGGCGCTGCCACCATCAAAACATCCTCGGAGTCGTCATATACGTCGACGACTCCCAAGCACCTGCCGGATGCTTTGGTACTCTGGCAGCCCTTGCGGACCCCCGGGTCCTGACAGAGGTGGGAACATGACTCACCAATGCTCTGTCGGACTGCGCAGGGCGGCTGGCACCGATTGCCTTGCCTCGCCAGTCGATCCAGGGCTCGTGCTTCTCAAGCCAGGGCATGCCCAGGATCATATCATATGGATCCATATCGAGAACAGAGAGCTGTTCGAGGCTGTTAAAGTCTTCAAACTTGACGGCCAGATCCACTTGGACGTTGGGGACAGTGACGACCTTCCCGTCGGACAGTCGCACTGACACCGTCCCGTTGCCCTTGCTTTCTCTCAAAGCATCGGACAACTTGTTGCTGTTACGAGCAACCGTCTGGCGGCGTGCGAAATTCTTCGACGCCCCAGAGTCAATCAAGATTCTAAAGGGATGATCGTATCCCCGTACACATCCGTGTACTACGAGCAACCCGCCGCTGCTCTTCGCCGATTCGAGAGTGCGAAGACTCTCAGAGGCTAAGTCCCCGTGGTGCGCGCCACCAGCGCACCCATCACGAAGACTTAGTTCTTCCCCAGTAGGGCGCCCCGCCCCTACTGGTTCCTTGCGTTCCCCTGTCCCCGGGATCCTGGCTTTTGCCAGCGACCCTTGAGGACGGGCTTGGGGAAGGACCGTCTGCGGAGTCTTTCCGCAGGGCAGTCGCGCTTGAAGTGGCCCATCTTCCCACAGCCGAAGCAGCGGATGTCACGCTGTTCGGCGGACCCGAGTTCCATGGGAACTGGTCCGTTGGGGCTTGTTCGACCGGGAGCCGACAAGGAACTCCCAGGCCACGCTGAGGCCGGCGTACGCGCCTGGCGATGGCTGTACTCTTCTTGAAGAGCCACTTGAATCGCCTCTTCAAGGGTGCTTGACTGCACCCGGAACAGCTGAGTGCGTGCGGGGACCACTCGAAGGCCGTCCATGAACACAGTCATCTTGATGTGTTCGTGGGTGGGTTTCCCACTAGGGACGCCGTGATCTCCCGTATCTCTTGCACATACTCGTGCAGTTCGCGCCTTCCTTGTTTACACGCGAGGACGCGCGAACGCTTGCGGTACTCGTAGTTCGCCGGGAAAAACGCGGCTCGGAGCTGTTCGCACAGCTGAACCCAGGATGTGAAACATCCAGGGGATGTTGCTTCCCGAGTGTACACCCAACTCTTAGCACGACCGCTAAGGTTGGAGAGTGCAAAAGCAACACGCAGTTGCTCGGTCGAGATCAGAGCCGCGTCCATCGCGAGCTCTACTTCTCGGACCCAGAAATGAAGGTTCTCGCCTTCCTTCTTTTCATACGGCTTAACCTTCAGCCGTATTGGCTTCGGGTGAGGCGGATTTGCTTCCGCCGCCGGAGCCTGCAGGTTCTCCCGCACATGCGCGATGAGGCCCTGCTCGTACGCGTCGAATGCATTGACGCGCTCGAGCTGCTCAGCCGGTGTTGATACCACCAGGCTCTGCAAGGCCTCCATCCCGAAGATGCCTGCCATCTTCCGAACCGACTCGAACTGAGAGTCGTTCAAATGGGAGAAGTCGTTCCTATCCATGGCAACGAAAATCGGAGAGGTTCAGGTAGTCTACCCGCGGTGGCGTGGATTGACCAACAAGTGCTACCAAGTGTGACGGGGTCACACAGCACCTTGCGCTAGAGGAAGTTATCTTCCGAGAGTATACAAACTCTCAGTGAACGGTAGTTCACAGGTCCCCTCTTAATTAAAGAGAGCGAAGTGACCTAAATAAGGTAGATTGTAAACTGAGTATATTTATAGGTAGGTTTAGTTTGGGTTTAATACAAGCTGTTAGTTATCTATAGAAATGCAATGTCATTTAACCAATGGTTGGCTTTGTACCAAATATCCCGGAGTATGACGTGTCATACTCCTGAAGTGTGAAGTGTCACACTTCATGTAACCAGGTTACACTTAGGGCTACGTACCCCGGTACTAATGGTGTTTAAAATCGAGAGTGTGTACTTCCTTGTGTCAGTATTGTTTTTTGCCTCTACTAATCAATATCTGAAGTTTTAATAACTGTGATAATTTTAATACTACAGTATAAATATCTCCCGTAACTTACGTCAAATCTACCCAGTTACAGTAGCCCGTAGCTTACGGGCCGTAAGTTACGGGTTCCTGTAACTGGGTGGATTTGACGATGAGTGGATGGGCTCTTAGCTAAACCTATAAAAACCAAGGCATGAGGATGATGGATTAAACCAGTTTTATACCCAAAAAAATTTAATATCCCCCCATTTTCAAAACATGTCGTCTCAGATGGAGTCTAGCACTGGAGGCCGGCCCGCTGATCCCCCGTGCGAGCTGGAGGTAGATTCAAGCGATGCTGTCCGCTTGATTCTGCAGTTCCTACGCGAGAATCGTCTATATGGAGCAATGCGCGCGCTGCAGGATGAGGCGCAAGTGAGCCTTAACGCCGTAGAGTCGATGGATTTGTTGGCCAGCGACATCTCTCATGGCCGCTGGGATCGCGTGCTGCAGCAGACGAAGGCACTCGAGTGCAGCGCAACAACAGTGATGGATCTGTATGAGCTGGTGGTGCTGGACATGATGGAGGCGCAAGAACGAGACGTGGCCGTGCAGCTGCTACGCACTACTCCAGCAATGGCTTCCATGAAACAGACGCAGCCAGAGCGCTATCTGCGGCTTGAAAAGCTGGCCCAGCGTGCAATATTTGACCCTGCAGAGGTCTATGCCGGCAGCAGCAAGCAGAAGCGGCGAGACGATGTTGCACAGCTTTTTTGCACTGAGGTGACGACCGTGGAGCCGTCCCGACTGTTGGTTTTGCTGGGCCAAGCACTCAAGTGGCAACAACTGCAGGTAAAGACCGAGTCTGGAAGACATTTCATGGTGTTGAAGTCGAGAGGTAACCTTGCTTTTTCTATTGTAGGGTTTAGTGGCACCTGGAGAAGACTTCGATCTGTTCCGAGGTGGAGCGAAGGAGAAGGTGGTGGACCGATCCGAAAAGCTGGTGCGAAAACCCGCGGGTAAGATCAAGTTTAGCAAGACCTCGATGCCTCAATGCGCACAGTTTAGTCGTGACGGGCGGATGCTCGTAACGGGTGCGAAGGATGGATTTGTGGAGGTTTGGGACTTTGAAAAATGCAAGTTGCGAAAGGATTTGGACTATCAGGCAAAAGTATGTGGAAATATTGCTGTGATTGTAGCAATATGGCCTGTGTGCTAACGCTCTGCCTACCTCCTTTCAGGATGAATTTATGATGCACGACGTTAGTGTGACAGCCGAAGCTTTCAGTCGGGATGGAGAGTTGCTGGCAACAGGAAGTGAAGACGGCAAGGTTAAGGTGTGGAAAGTGTCCACGGGGATATGTCTACGTCGCTTTGACAATGCTCACAGTCAGGGCATTCAGAGTATTACGTTCTCTCGAGATGGCACTCAGCTGTTGACCGCATCGTTCGACCATCTTGTTCGTATCCACGGTCTCAAGTCTGGCCAAACACTGAAGGAGTTTCGTGGCCATCAGAGTTACGTCAACACCGCTTTGTTTTCTTCAAATGGCAGCAAAGTTATATCGACGTCCAGTGATGGCACGCTGAAGATCTGGAGTGTCAAGACGACGGGGTGTCTACAGACTGTACGGCCACCCAGTGAGTCCTACACTGCAGAAGTGGATATTGTCAGTGCGTTGCTGGTGCCTACCGTGTCTGGAAGTGATGAGGACATCATTATTTGCACACGCACGAGTGAAATGCTTCGCGTGTCAATGGGAGGAGAGGTGTTGCTGACTTACAAAGGAGATCCATTCAACGACAAGAAAGTTGGCAACTTTGTGGCCTGCACCCTCTCAATGCGTGGGAAATGGCTCTACGGCGTGACCGACAAGGGTTTCATCGTGAGCTTCGCTGCAGCTACTGGAGAACTCGAGACGTCGATGCAAATCTGCAACGCCGACACTTTCGGCATCACTCACCACCCACATCGCAATATTATCGCCACGTACGGCAGCGACCGATATGTCCGACTGTGGAAAGCCTGATACACTGGGCAATAGATTTTGGCAATTGTGGAGAGTAAGCATCGCGTATGGTTATCTAGTTTTTCTTGCCCTTCTTGCCCTTGCCTGACTTCTTCTTGCCCTGTTGCTGCTGTTTCTCACGCTCATCCTCGAGCGCCAACTCTTCTCCAAGCTGGAATGGAGATCGGAAAGAAGCCGAAATATCGCTAGACGCAGTTGTGGCAGCCCCCTGCAAACGAGAGCCAAATCGGCGCTCGACACCTTCGTTCTCAGAGGTATCCCACAGCGCCAGCACGCCCTTCGAGCCACCAACGCCGAGCATGAACGGCGAGTCTTGGTAGAAAGACAATGTGAACAGCTCACCCTGCATAACATCAATAAGGTATAGTTAGTCTACAGTACAATCCAGCGTAATTAACTGGAGCAATATTGCGACGTACCACATTCATCTCCTTCGAGGTGACGCACAAGGGTGCGTTGTCCTTAAGGTCCCAGAGTTTGACGGTCTTATCAACACCAGCAGTCGCAAGCAGACCAGGCACTTGAGCAGAGAATGAAATTGCCGACACGGCACCAGCGTGTGCGTCGAAACGGAACAACGGAGCCGAGCCGTTCATGCGCACGTCGAAGCCCACAACAACGCCGTCTTCCGAAGATGCCACGATAGTGCTTGGGTTGTGTGGTGCCCACGCAATACTCTCGACCTCGCCAGACAATTGGAACTTAGAGAAAGCGTCTGGCTGACGGCCATCCAGCACAACGATTGTACGGTCGAAAGACGCACTAGCAAGCACCGTAGTCTCGGCCGGGTTCCAGCGTACACTCTGCACCTTGCTGCTGTGGTGCGCCATAGTATACAAGCACTTCTGTGTCGTGATATCCCACACCTTAACAGTCGAGTCGGCCGAGCCACTGGCTAACATGTTACGGTGGCTGTTGTTCCAGTCAAGCGACATAACAGCGTCCTGGTGACTACCAGGCTTGAGCGCTGTCTTGCGGTTCTTCCGTCGCTTCGAGATCTTGGGCATGGCTACATCACGCAAATCTTCATCCTGTTCACCACCGAGCGTTGCTGAGGGCTCGAGAACATCCAGCACGTTGAGGTCCCAGATCTCAATACCAGACTTGAATGTACCCACCGCGACAAAGCTGCCGTCCACCGGCCCCGTCGTCGGGTCAAGAGGGACTGGAGCGCAGTCCATCCAGGCCATGCACAGTGGAAAGGCTGGTAGGTTGATCTCGTGATGCACGTAGAGCGCGCCGTTCTCCTCGTCGTAGACCTGCACTTCGAGGTTACTGAAGTCTTCCTCCGTGTTGGCTACAAGGATAACGCTATCCGTAGATCGAATCTCCAGGTCGTCTTTGTCCATCTCCAACTCGTCGTCCTGATCGTCTTCGTCGTCCTCCATGGCCACGTTGCCCTCCTCATCGGGCTGGTCGGTCATTTCGTCCTCCTCTTCGTCCTCTTCGACAGCACCGGCGCCGCCACTCAGGTAATTATTGATGGCTGCATCATCGTCTTCATCATCGTAATCGTCCATCTTAAACGAAGCAGGGAGTCCGTTGCTGTCCTTTTCATCCTGATTAGCGGAGATCTGCTGCTCTGCGTCTTCCTCGGCCATTGCAGCTTCCATGGCGCTCTGTTCCTCCACCTCTTCCTCTGTAGCAGACTCACGCATCATTTTCACTTCGTCATCGGTCAGCTTTAGCTTCTCCGGAATGCGGCGCGACGCGCCTTTAGGTACCCAAGCGAGCGCGGAGATCATGGCGGCCAGGTTGATACACGGACGAATGGACTGTGAGTGACGTGCGTGGCCATCAATTTTGAAAAGCCTGCTGTAGCGAATGTATGAAGTATGAGAGGATATGCACATAATCGTGCGACAACTGCAACATGATGTTGCCCCATTATCTCAACAATCGATCAGCATACTGCAAAAGTGGCGATAAGTTAACTGCTTAATTGCGATGAATAACTAGGAGCAGCAATGTAAATCTACCAGCACAAACCTGGTAGTTAGCATGTTTTTCACGATTGCAGGCATCTTGGGTTTGTAACTTTATTTTTTTAAGTATTAATAAAGGTAGTTACTTCTTGAACATCACGGGCGAGGGCTCCTTCACTCCATCTACAAACGCACACGTAAAGCACTTTAGTGTGAGCTCACCATGGCGCCTGCCATCCATCGCATGAGAATCTTACCGACTTTAGCGTGGTGTGTTGGGTCATCGTCAAAACTACGCTGCTGTAAGAACGAAGTCAGTGCACGCACAAGCCGTTCGATACTCGAGCCTCAACGCTACCTCGTAATTGTCGTGCGTTGGCATCAATGCAAACTGATCCATCTGGTGCTCGACGTCATGATCTCTTTCTCGCTGTTGCTCCTGGTCTGAAGTCATGTGGCATGTCAATGAGTGACAACAGAAATACTAGCTGTCAATACCGACGTACTTCGCGTTTGTTGCAAGCTCGCCACGATGCTGTAGAGCAGCGGAACATGCGTGAAGCGTGGATCCTCCGTGACTAGACAATGTAATAAGAAATGAAAAAATGTTTTTTAATAACAATAGTTAGTGAGTAAGAACAAGATCCTTGTCAGTCCCAAAACATGGTGGCATCCTTTCGCACCGTTCAACTCGCTCGACATGAATTGTCGGTCGAATGGCTTTTCAGCAGGCTGCCCGGACTCTAAGTGCGTTTGCAGTCCACATAAAAATTAGTTGCAGTCTCAAACGTATGATCCTCATCGAAACTAACCTGGTAAGAACACTGACAGCGCGTGTCGATATCCATTGTACTCGAAATACTCGCGGATGAGCTCGTTGATGATCAAGTTCTCATTTGACAGCTTCGGCTTCGGCACATTCTGCAAAAATGGCAGCAGAAATTACTCAAGTCACGCCTTGTATGTTTTGAAGCCAGTCATCACAAACTGCAATCGTCACCTGGTCGTCCAGCGCTGCGAAGATCTCTGCGCGAATTCGAGCTTTGATCTGATCCAGCGATCCCCGCGCTGCCAGTGTGTCCTTCAACACTGCACTCCATATCATCATTATATTGATTCCATCACACCGAGGACCGCCTTGCCTCACCTTCTTTCAGATCTGACAACGTGGCCTGCCCTACGTCGGCGCTCATTTTCAAATCCTTCAACAAGAATGCAAACGAAGAGGCGTGAGCCTGTGGCATTTATGTCTGCCACACCAATACCCGTTACAGATGATGGCTTTTGGCCTAGTGATTATCTAAGGACAAGGCGATGGCGTCGAGCCCCGAGGCTGGCGAGCGCCTAGCGCGCATCAGTCGCATGCGTACGCTATCGGCGCTGCTGGACGACGATCTGGACGACGAGGAACAGCTGCCGGAGGAGTGTCGCGCACTGTTTGCGCATGTGACGGCAGCCGCGTCTAAAGACTCCAAAGAATCGGTGGACGAAGACGCGGCTGAGCTGGACCAAGCGCGACGCAATGAGTTCCTATGCGTCGAGTGCCAAGCACACGAGGCCGAACTCTTTTGCGAACAGTGTCACGACTACTTTTGCGAGTTGTGCTGCGGCGGCCAGCATCGTAAGGGCAACAGGCGGAAGCATACGTTTCAGCCACGTTTCCCTGTGTCTAAGGCTGCTCCGGTAGCTGAAGAGGCCACTAACGATGTGGAGATGGACACAACGAGAGACGCAGTGGACTACGATGTACGACGACGTGTTTTCAGGCTCTAGGGGGCTGAGGAAGCTGAGCAAAAGAGGTTAAAATGTGCTTGGTGCTGTGTTTTTGCGGCTGTAGAGCGATGAGGACGAGCTGGACGGAGACACAAGCAGCAGTGAGGACGAGGACCTTGATCGTGGTATGGATGGCTCTATAGACCACGACTCAGATACTTCTGACTCGGATGAACCTGCAGGACGCCGTAACATTTGTAACTTGATGGGTCATTATCTGTTAGGTTACCCGTCGTCGCTGGGCCCGGCAACACTCTCCAACGGAAATTCGAGTGCTGCAAGTGCTGAAGATGCTGCCAAGATGCTGGAGCGAGCCAAGTACATCCCTGTGCGACTCACATATGAGGAACGCAAGCTGTTGCGAGCGCTGGAGGCAGCGTTATGTGTGAGCAGCTACACGGACAAGCTCGACACACCCAAGTTCCTACCGGCAGCTAAGCGCGTGCGTGCTCAGCTGCAAGATGTGTGCGGATTCCTGTCAGCACTAGCAGTTGCATCGGACTACAAGGCTGGACAAGAGGTCCTGGACGAGAAGAACTTCGCTGAGAGCGCCGAGTTTTTTCAGGAGATCTTTGAGCTGGGCAGACGATACAAGATAATGAACCCAGAGAAAATGCGCGGTGAGTACGGCAAGCTCATGTATCTGCTTCAGGATGCAGTGAGTCCAGAACTGCAGGAACTCCTCGGATTCTCGTGTCTTCAAAAGATCCGTACGGTGTACAATGTGCTGGAGGCAGGCGGTGCTCTGGACATGCTACGTGATGCTCGTATTGAGACTGCTACAATGGTGGTCGCGCCCGAGGGTAAGACTCGCTTTCAGATCCAGCGTCAGATCAAGCAGAAGGAGCAGGCCATTCGTGCTTTGAGCGACAAGTACGAGAGCCGACGACTCACGCGCGACTCGCTGCAACAGTGTCTGTACTCGATCGCCGATAACAACTACCATTTGTACTTTGAGCGCGACCCGATCGACCGTATGGTCAAGTTGCTGACTACACACTTCAATCCAGACGATGAGAAGGAAGACAGCTCGCTGGCCATCATCAGCGGGAACGACGGCGCTCGATTGTCTCATTCGCACAGTCGACAGTACAATTACGTGCTGCAATCGCTGACACTTTGGCGTGAGATCGCTCACGATATGTTCCGTCTCTGGTGTCTGACGGACGAGGATCTACTCGCCGACGGCACGCGGTACGAGCTCACGGACACTGGTCAAGGGCTGCACCGTATCCAGCCTGCGCCTCGTGTGTCGCGCGCCATGCACGTGATCTTACACTCCACCCAGCGCAACTTAGACTCGTGGGTGGGCTCAAGTGTGATCCACCTTGGAGACAAGAATGTCCCCAACGCACTCATGTTCATCGACAAGTACACTCAAGTAGGACATATTTTACGTCCTATTGTCAAAGCTATCGACAGTATCGAGTCGATGTGCGAGTCGTCAAAGGCGATTCAAGGATACGTGGACACCACATTTGGTGGTGCTCGCAAGCTGAAGCGGACTATCCTGGCAGACTTCTTTCGTGAGGCTTTTGACGGCAGTGGCGCTGACAATTTCTTTGAGGCCGGATCGTGTATCGACGGTCGACTCACAAGCGCCTGGAATTGGTGTTCGAACCTCCACAGAAAGCACTTCTTTCCAATTTTCAAGATCACGGGCTTTGTTGGCTTTGACGGCAAGTTCGGATAGAAAGAGAGTGGCGCTGTTTGAGGCAGTTAGAGAACACGATGACCACGTCAGTTTGCCTTATCGACACGTTCAAACACTATTGACATTATACCTTATGCTAGCTCCCCCAAAACTTCTAACTACTGTAGACCAGGCTGGTTATATCGACATGTGTTGAGACGAAGATGACGACCAATCCATGCTAGCACCACCTCCATAACTCACAGAAGAACGACTCATGATCTGCTGGACAGCGTAGACTACTTCTGTAGCTGACGGACGGTCATCTGGGTTAAGAGACAGACAAGCCTTTGCCAGCTCCAGCACCGCCGTGGGACAGTTCTCCGTAAAGTCCGGGATGAGTTCTCCTGCAGCGACCATGCGAAGAATCGCCGTCTCCTCCACCTTCCCTCCTTGAGGCGGGTTCTTCGCGTTCCAGTATGGGTAATCTTCAGTGTCAATCTCTGAAATGACAATACCCAAGGAGAAAATATCGGCACGTTCGTCGTAGTCTTTACCCAGTAGAACCTCCGGAGCAATCCAGAAAGACGTTCCGATACCTGCCGTCATGTGCGTCTCCATGGCGTGGCGTTCACGAGACACACCGAAGTCACTCAGTTTGGCCTCCATCTCAGTGTTCAGCAGTACGTTCTTGGACTTGAGGTCGCGGTGGATCAGCTTTGGATCCAACGAGTGCAGATACGTCAAAGCCTCTGCAATATGCTGAGTAATGCGAAACTTGTGTGCTTCCCACGTCAGCGGAGTATTACGGAGCTGGAAGCTGCGTAGAACCTCACGTAAGTCCCCACGCTCCATGTACTCCGTCACAGCGCTCAGATTGCGTAGTGTATCCCACGCCACACCGATAAACTCGACAATTCGAGGGTGCTCCAGTGTCGAAATGAGGCAAACTTCCTTCATAAAAGCCTCCACGTGCTTCATATCTTGGCATAAATCCGTTCTAATGCGCTTGATAGCCACACGACGACGGTTGTACACACCACTGTACACGAGTCCGAAGCCTCCTTTGTTGATACAATTGGCCACTTTGACGTCCTTGAACGGAATACGATGCGCGATGATAAGTGGATCGTTGATGATGTTGGTGTTAGCCGTGAAGTGCGAATCAAACGACAACGTGTGGTCAAATACCGACTCATCGCGCTCTTTGCGGCAGTTGTGTGCACGACGTTGTCGGATGAACACAAAGATCAAGACACAGACCACCACACAGGCCGCTACGATCACGTAGATGAGATAGCTGTTGCTACTGGACGAAGAATCCGACGACGTCGAGGCTGTCGTGCTGTCCAGTACACAGAAATCAATGCCATGTGCAGCCTTCCACGTGCCGTTGTCACATGTGTACGCGTCATTGGGTGGATCCATGTTAAAATTCGTGAGTCCCGCAATGTTCTCGTACAATTCACTCGAGATGGTCCAGTTCTGGATAGCATTGTTCTCCAGATACAAGCTCTTGAGCTGGTTGAGATAGAACATGCGGTACGGGATCTGTGTCAACGCGTTGTTGCTCACGTTGATAGACTTGAGTGGGCATGGGTTGGCTGTGCACATTTGCGACGAGATACGAGAGTACGTGCCGAACAGCTTGTTGTGTGATAGATCCAGGTACTCAAGACTAGCGAAGCCCTGTAAAAATGTCGCTGTCACCTGACTAATATTCGTGTAGCGGAGAGTCCTAAATAAAAGCAAAAGCATAAGTTCACGTTCGTATCCATCGAAGCAGATACTTCAACCTACAGATTTTGGATCGCAAGAGGAATGTAGTCCGTCGAGGCGTCCAGAGCAGAGTACAAGTCCACATTCTCCATCGTACTAAGCCAGAAAAAACACGTGAGTACATCATTTCTGGTCGTACAAGAGCAACAATTGGTCACTCACATTTTCTCCAATGCTGACGTAGTGCCCACCTCAAGAAGGGACGGATTGGACGTATCGTAATTGTCCCATCCAGTAGCTTCCGCCGTGACATTAAGCGTAACCGCGTCCTCTCCAACTCCGACGATTTTGATGGACGTCAGGTCGTCAGGAGCGACGATAGTTACGAGTGATGTGAGACCCAGTGTGGCGCCGAACGCGAGTGTGAGAGGCTGGTCGGTCAATTCCGACCGCGACTGGATGTAAAATTCCCATTCAGTTGAATTGTCGTAGCCCTCGAGACATGTACAGCTCACTCCGACGTTCGTGTAGACATCTGGGCAGCCGCCATTGGGCGTGAGCGCGCTAGACTTGGTCTGGATGGACGGTTTGCCATCACACACAATGGGCAGAGCCTTCCAGTTTGCAGTTAGGCTACTACCGATAGTGCTGCCCCACACGCTCTTTATATCGTTCGGAAAGAGCCGCGTCTCGCCGTCTTCCATGTAGTTTTCGAGCCAAGCTTTCACCTGGTCATCGATCTCTTCGCCCGCGGAGCTTGCAGCGCGCACAGCGACAAGCACCAATGCCAGCGTCGCCAGCACCCGCAGCATTTATCCGCCAATTACTTGTTGCGATAGTGCTAATGACTCGAAGAGAATTGTATCTGAGTCGGCCAGCTGTACCGGACTTCAGGCGTCGACACTTCAGCCACCAAGTAGCGCGAGCGTTCGTGTGGCAGCGAGCCGAACTGTGAGTGATGGCGTTGGAAGCAGAGAGTGTATCATAAGGTCGTCGATGGCTCTTTTTGTCTTCCCGTTTTCGGATGGCAACTTTATTTTCAAGCAATCAAGAAGGGAGGACCCGTTTGCCAAATATTGAGATAAGTTGTGGACAGTTACTAAAGCTAGATGTCGCCCCTCTTATTGCTCATTAGGTAAGGCCACAGTGGTCAGTAAAAAGTTAGCAGAGACTGCACTCATGGTCGCCGTTTCCGAATATGTGCGGATCGTGTCAAAGATTAGCTAGCGCTGAAAGAGTGCCCTGCGCCTAAAGCCCAGCTGCAAAACAGAACTGAGGTTCACTGGAGGTGAACCTCAGTGACGGTCAACAGGTCCTTACCGTCGCTAGTCGCGCTTCATCGCTTGTCATGTTGCACAATACTTGCTCATTTTGCAGGTTACGGTGACTAAAAGAAATACTACATGTGGACCCTCGTTGCAGCATTGGCTCAGCTACTGTAGTTTTCGACTGAAACCACTAGCAAGCTTTTCGTTCATGAAGTGATGACAATACATGTAAGGATACTAACGGATGCGCCCGAATAAAAGCCCCCTACCAAATAGTGTCCTGTGGAGTGCTACATGCCTGCACTATTAAATACAAGCCCCTCCTGAATAGAGTCCTTATAAAAACTACCAAATCTGCTATTACAAACTTGCTGACCATCCATTCTACAGAGAGAAACTTTTCCGTCATTTCCAATAATGCCTCATCAAAGGCAGTCAGTTAGCATTGGGCTTAAGCAAGAGGTGATCAAGTGGATTAAAGATGTCGTTTCAAGGACCTACTGTACATGGAAATTAACGCTTGGAAAGAGTCAGACCGAGTCGAATACACTCGCTTTGGTAACCCACGTATGCCAAGTGTTGACACCGTTTGCGATTGGGGCCTCCGCGCGTGGCGAGACACGGATGAGGCAACAATCTTGCGGAGCGTTGAAATAGCAGGCTTCTCGAGAGACCCCTCGTCGTGGTTTATATCCAAGCACGATGTGTAAGGGAGACGCTGCTACCACCAAATTTAGGAAATGATTTCAGTGTAAGTTCTGTCACTTTCAGTCAACTTTCGGTTGCACATATAGAGCCGGTTTCCGGGGATTGGGTTGAAGAGACGATAAAAAACCTTACCGTTTGAAATCCTCAGATTTTGGAAAATTGTGCGCCGCACGATTCGATTGGCATTCGTCAATACCCCCCCCCTTGGAGCCAGAAGAGAGATTGAAGGTTCCCAGCACGGTTAGCGGCGCACACAGCAGGAATGGTACGATGACACACAACACCTCACTCTATTACACTCACTCACTGACTCTGCTATGATTTTAACAGGGCGACAGTTCAAATTCTCCACCGTATCCAGGCTACGGGCGTGTGGACCGCACGCTGCGTGATAGTGCAGAGCTGGATCGCATCCGGATTCGTGACAAAAAGCGAAAGGAATGGGATGATACGCTAGCAGCTTTGAAGAAACTGCCCCCGTATCCAATTCACGACCGTGGCAGCAATGATCGCGCGGCGTATCATACTGAAACACTCATGCGAATAAAGCTTCAAAAGCAAGCGGCACGTCTCGTGGCCGAGGGGAAGACGATGGTGATGCGCAGTACCGCTGCTACGCTGCTAGCTGAAGATCCCACGAAAGCCAGCGACGACAGTGCGCCAAGGTCCCGCAAGAAGTCTAGCTCAAGGAACTACAACGCTGCGCTTCACGAGGCGCTGGAGGCTATTGATCAAGTCGATAGCGAACCGTCTGTGTCTTGCAGTGACTCCGATTACGAAGACGACAAGACCAAAGGGGAGAGTGGCGAAAGTGATGCAGCGGAAGGGGGATCTGAAGGATTATTGGCCGAGAACGATGGAGATCGCGGCGATGGTGCCGCCAGTGGTACCACCCAAGTCGAAAGTGAAGGCGATGGTGGAGACGTTTTGGACGCAAATGATGATTCAAGTGATGATTCAAGTGATACCGAAGACAAACCGAGTTCATCACCGAATGTACACCAAACGTTCCTAAGAAGAAACAAGACGCTGGTGATTCATTCTTCCAACCAGGTACCAAGATGTTTAATACCTGGGAGGAGTTCCACGCTGCTTTTGACGCCCACCAAGTCCAGTCTTTCCAGCAATTTTCCAAGCGGACAAGCACGTCTGTCAAGGTACGGAACAAGCAGATACTTCGGGCTGCGAAGAAGACCATGGCGGCCGGAAAGAGGAAGCGGAAAGATGTTCGTTTGGTTCCCAAGCAGTGGGAAACTTACTCGGAGACGCTCGTGTGCACCCATGGTCAGCCGTATGAGCCACGCGGCAAAGGATCCAGAAAACACAATTCGGTTCGTGATACGAAGTGCACGGCGAGAGTGAACGCGCGGGTGACTTCCAGCATTAGTGGTACGTGGTACGTGAGGGTAACCACGTCGGAGAATCACAACCACAACTTGAACAAGCGCATTTGGGAGAACTACGCAGAGAACAGGATTGTCAAGGACCCGCGGTTGACGAATGATGTCGAAGTACTTCGCAAGGCAGGAGATAATGCTCAGGGAATCCTGAAGTACTTACGGGAGCGCACAGGAACATACAATCACTTGTTTGGTATGTTTTCGGTTAATGATATTTTTCTGTTTTTCTTTGGTGTTATAACATAGGCAAGAGAACTACTCTCCGTGACGTTCATAATATGGTGCAGCGGCATAGGATGAAGGAGCAGGCGGGCTTAACGATGCTCAGAGGGCGTTTGCAGTCCTGGACGAGTTTTGTAGGCAAAACGGCGGAAACTCTGCTGACGTTTTGGTCGACTGTGAGACAGACGTTGCTCGTGTCGCCACGTTCCAGACTGCAAAGATGAAAAGACCAGGAAAATGCGCGTGCTCTAGCTGCAAAATATCGCCAAGGAAAGAAGACAAGGACTGTTAAGCTCGATGAGGTGGCTGCGCTTCTGGATGGGCCATTCAGCGCATTTCAGGCTAAAGATATGGTGGAGGCCCTTGAAATTCCAAGTGTTGAACTGCACGGACCAGTTTCGGTCAGACCCTTTAATGTGGGCCAGGAAGTCCCAGTTGTGACGAAGATTCCTCAGTTAACCAAGGTCATTGAAGGCATTGAAGCTATCAAGGCAGTAGAGGATATCAACCTACTCGCGTACTGGCCAGATTACGGAAGTGCTACATTGGACCAGCTGGATGCTATGGCCAGTATAATCGAAGCTCGCAATCACTTCAAGTTGGTGGCTCGTACGATGAAGTGGATCGACGATGTGGAATGGCAAGTTGAAGACATTCGCTATCCATTCGTGGACACCAGTCACATAACGAAGGTAATTTTCGAACAGTACCACAACCGAAGGTACACCGAATACTAACAGAACTAACTGTATTATGTTACTTTTGCAGAAGCATCACAAACAATGCGTTTATGCTCTTAATCTGGCTGTGAATCGAGTACCGGGGGAGCTCGTAGCTAGACGTCAAATTTTGGACATGCGTGAAAATCTTTGGCTGCACACAACGTCGATTCTCGTTTCCCTGCTTATGTTGCGCGACGAATATCGCAATGTTGGAGTTGTGAGCCCAAGTTACCATGGATTCGCGCTACCTGAGCAAAAGAAACGTGTGGCAAAAGGATTGGGTGCTTGTAATCCCCAAAACCAACGTGTAATTGGTGCTATGAATCTCAATCTACACTGGGTAGCGTTTCTCGTGGACAAGAAGAAAAGAATCTGTTTCATGTTCGACCCACTTCAATCCGATGCAAACTACACTACCATCGAGACGAGTGTGCGTGCAGTGGTTGAGAAGATTTTGGGTCTTGAAGACATGCTGCACTATGAGCGCATTACCTGGTGTACGCAACAAGATTCCAGCTCCTGTGGCGTGTGGAGCATTGCCATACTGGAAATGATTTTAAGTGGCGCTATTTGGAGCGATTGTGTCTACAATCTTGTGCCGTATTTGCGCATGCGTCTGCTGTACAAAGCAATTGCTTCCATTGAGAGAGAGTCCGTTGTCATTGACGTGTAAGTTCATTCCTTCCTGTTGAACATTTTTGTGATATACATCTGTATACCAAAAATATACACAACTCTACTTTTGTTTGGTTCTACATTTGGTCCCACGCGTACATGCATCGAAAAAACGCTAAGTCGCACAACTTCTATATATAGACTTGAACCACAAAGATTGGGCCTTTGTGGTGTATATTTCTCACACCAAACCGAAGATAAACATTAATTACCGTCTTTGATGGGTAACCTTTTCCCATATGTTTGCACCAGATTATAAGCAGTACAGCACTACCTAAGAAAGCCAATTAATGTCCATCTAAATTCGGTGGTAGCAACATCGTCCGATGTGTAAGGCGCAAAATTTCGTGAAAAGTGGTCGAAGGAACCGCATATGAACGAAGTCGTCGATCTGTTAAATCTTTCAGAGTTAGATGATGCGTTAGACGATATTAACCTGGTACACGAATCATTTCAGCAAGGAATAAAGTCCTTACCCGTTTAAAGTCCTCTCTGTCACTTTCGGGCGGCACTATTAAATATAGTCCGGAGTCTAATAGGGCGCGTCCGTTACATGTTAATACAAACATTTTACCTTGTGAACTGGACGCCGTTAACCCTTTGGCGGCAAGTGAAAGCTGTCGTTTTATTTTACAACGTGAAGCAGGTATTCTCTTTCAAAAAAAATAACTGTTTTGTTTTGATATCTCGGAGATTTTCTTCACATTGCTAAAAATAAGATTGCCAAATGTGGTACACCTTTTTTCTATGAAATGATAATTTCCTATTGTTGATAAATAGCTAGCCTCCCGTGATGATCAGTTTTTGAGCTGCGGCACCGTCGCGCGGTTGAAGCGGGTGTCTACATCTCTGTACGACGGTCGCGGGTAGAGCTCGGAGTGGTTACCGCAACCTTAACTGTGAGACATGTAAGGTTGCTTTTGTAACTTATGGTTGCTTTAGACGAATTTAAAAATCCGCTGAAAATTACAGTTTCTATACTTTCAGAAACTCGTAAGTTCGTTTCGTTTGTATAAGTACGCAATTACAGTAAAAGTCATTTTAAGTACGCTTCATTCATAGCCTCTCATTTCGAAAGCGCACGCAGAGTGGCGCAGCGGGAGAAGGACGGAGGAAGTTCACGACGGCTTCAGGGACTCTCCAGTCACCCACGAGAAACGCGACATCAGGCGTCATGTCCGGTACGCATTTTAATAACAGAAGAAAGAAGCTATACTACGCTATGTAGTAAAATGGATCTGTTTGTATGTCGAAGGGCGACGTTTGCGTAGCAAGTCAACTAACAGCTCACGACCACACTACGCTCAACTTACACTGAGCATAGAGAAGGACCATTCCAGCGATGAGGATTACAAACCTGATGATGAAGATATCGATGTCGACATTCAGAGCACAGAACGGGGTAAGCTGTGCAAGTTGACCCTAAATTATAGCTACTTGTCATAACTATTTGTATATATATGCGACATACTAACAGGTGTGAAGTGTGGAGAGAATACTGGACATAAGGATGAAGATGTATCTGGAGAGGAGAACAAACTGGTAGACGTGAACAAAAAGGAGGAAGAGGAAAATACCGGTGCGTTCATTGGATCTATTCTGTGACGGTAACAACAGCGAAAAATGCTAACGCCCCTGACAAATTGGACACGGAGCAGAAGAAGCAAGGATTTGTCAACGATGTCGTCGTCACTATTGATCCAAAGATCTGGAAATTCAGCGGGTGAGTCCACACCGACGTCACGGTTGCTTTATAGGGTTGCTGTAACCCGTAAGGTTGCTGAATGGTCGCTGTATCAAATATGAATGCTGCAGGGTTGCTTTAATATGGTACACTAACGCTGTCTTTATTTTTTATGCAGTGAATACGTGGATGCCTTGACGACATTCTACGATGTTAAGGTCAAGTGTAGATCTTGGATTAAAGACAGGAAATGGCTCGAACAAGACTGGAGACGCGTCGGGTCTGGATTGGAGCTTTTCGCTGTTGAAACGAAGACTGCAGGTCTATCAGATGCCGCTGCCCGGAGTCGGCACCAAGTTCTAGCCAATGAGGCTATTATAAAGCTTACATCAAGTAGATTGCGGACTCAATTTGTGACAAGGTCCAGTTCAGGTTTTGTTGGCTTCGAAAACATTGTGGGAAATCTCTGTCGAGGCTGGTTGAACGACAGTGCACTTGATTTTGTCTGGAAGCTATTGTCAAATCAAACGGACAGTCACTATTGCTGTCGACCCTAGTGGTGGATTTTGGTTGTACCAAAATACCCAAGACATCTATTCAAGATAAAGGTTCATTGTCCATCCAGTGAATTTAAATGCAAGTCACTGGGGTCTGATTATGGTCCGAATCGACCATGACGATGCAGACAACAGAACACGTGTACGACCAATGATGTATGAGCCTCTTATCGACGAAGAATATCGTGGTGAAGTTGTTGAGGTATGGCAAGGAACTACGATGAATGACGAGCGGAAAGAAGGCCTTGTCGACTTTGTGGGGCGGTCGCATGCCTACTCTGCATTGGGATATAAACTAACGATAGAACCGGAATTGTGGTTTGAAACACCACAACAGCCTGACCACGTAAGCTGCGGAGCACTAGTTGTTGCCCAAGCGTATAGCTACCTAACGGGGAGTATGCAGCTTCAGCAGAACCAAGTATCCAAAGAAGACGTCAGTATAATGCGCCTAAAAATGCTGTGGATGATGATATGTCATTCGCACGAACGCTCGTCATCCGAGTACAAACTTAATAGGGCGAACCATGTCCAGCAGCAGTTACAGGATCAACTCGGATAAAGTAGGCCAAGCGGATAACACTTCAACACGATTTTGGCACGTCTTGATATCTTCTTATCATTATTCAGCTTGCTCATTACAAGCTCCAGCAGCACTCTTGATACCTACTTATCATTACTCAGCTTGTTCACCAGGAGCTCCAGCAACATTCCAAACGATAGCGTCTCCATGCGAGATAGGGTCACGTTTTCATCTTTAACAGTCTCAGATAATTCGTACCCGTGCTCCTCCCTCTCTTCGATAAGGGCTTGGATCTCTAGTTGAGCCTTCATGATCATCTCCAGACCCGTGCTGATTTGCTCCAACTTCTCCTTCAATGCCGCAAGCTCCTCAAGACGTGCGCTTACCAACTGCCGCGCCAGTGCTGCCTCCTTCATAGAAATTCTGCGCTAGATGTCAGAAAGAAATGGAGCTCATGCGAACTTAGCTCATATATCTAAATTTAGACAATTGAACGGATAGTTGTCATTTTGTGGTCCTCAGGTAACTGACGACATGTAATTAATAATAAATTTCGTTTTGCTAAGGTTGCTTCTGGTTTGGTCAGGCTACTGGAAGTGTTGCTTTAGTGACAAGGTTGCTATATATTTCGTCGTCAGATTGTAAATGGGGAAACTTATGGTTGCGGTAACGCCATTCGGTAGAGCTTGAGCTTTGAAGCAACGCAACTTGCCTGTGGTCCCACTTCACCATGAAGTTCACGAGTAAAAACGAGTGGCGCATTGGCAGCTTTTAAAGCCGGAACAGACTCCCACTTTCGCCACCACACAGCCGCTGACAGCTCTGTGGCCCGCACAAACGACTGACATCATGTCATGATTTATGTGAAGCTACCGCCATTACGCTAGTGGATACCGAGCGTTTGTGCATACTGAGCCTTGCCAGTAAGCATCTAGCTGCTAGATTCTAGCATTTTATTATTAATAGTACCTTGGAAGAACTCCATTATATTCTTCGTGCTCTCGTGCCCAGGGATGCCGAAAAATACATTGATTGCCCGTACAATACAATAACGACCCTGAAATTATTTTTTTTCGGACCTTAAGGCTGACCATAAATAATTTACCTAATCTTGTGGATGAATACCTGTATTTACTGTTAACTTAGGAAATCGCAGATAGATGGCTATCAAGAGCCCACCTTCTTCCGTCTAACGTACACTCACTTTGCTATCTGCATCATGGCCACCCAAGCCTTTTCCAACACTCGAATCTCTGGTTTCTACTTTCAGCCGTCACGGATGCATTCGATGAAACTATTGAGGGTCTCTATCGGTGCCGGTGTGGTACCGTTCGTCGACAAGCACCCCGAATTGGGTACACCAACCTCATCCAGCACGTACGTAGCCAACACCCTGACTACGTGGACGTGATGCGCGAGGCGAACACTGGTCGCGGCACCCACGTGCAAGGGACCTACACGGGTGGCTAGACTGGATAATATCCAGCAACCTACCGCTCCGTTTCTGTGAGAACGCTGGGGCGAGATGGTAAGATACTGTGTCTCTTCTGCTATATCGTTTTCACGACTAATTAATTGTGTGTAGCTACACTAGCCTATCTCCTGTTTCTGTCGAGACATTGCGCGGGGCCATGGAAGGGGTAACGCTGGCAGTAGAGTCGTCATCGACGGGTGGTCGCACGACTCCGAGCACTTCCTAGCAGTTTTTGCCTGCTACGAAGTGGACGGAGTCGCAAAATACCCACTACTGTCCATGGCCCCTCTGATCAACGAGCCGGACGATGACCATGGTGCTCGCACGCACGAAGTATTCCTAGCTACAATGCTAGAGCGAGACTACGGTAAGCAAGTGAGCAACTGTCTCTTGATTGCTGGAGATAATTGCAAGGTGAACAAGCGATTGGCAACCAGCATGGGTGTTCCGCTGATCGGATGTGCAAGCCACCGCCTGGATTTAGCAGTGCAGGCGTACTTGAGCACCTACGAGGACGATTTGGCGCAGATACAAGCTCTCATGCGTAAAATGAAGACGCTGAACCTCTCCGCAGCGCTACGGTATTTTTTTTTATTTTTTTTATTTTTTTGCCCTTTAATTATTTTTTATGTTATGCACATTAGTTTTAAAACGCCTCTCCGACCAATTTTTCGCCAATACACACGATGGGGCTCGGCATACCGAATGGTGGAGCGCTACTTTCGACTGGCTGAGTTCCTTCCTGAGGATGACGACGAGATCGCAGATCTCCTGCCGACTCCAAGGACATTGAAGCGCTTGAAGACACTAATGGTGGAGCTTGCACGCGTTGAAAACGTGAGCAAGGCCCTCCAAAAGGACGGTATCACGATGTTGGATGTCCGTGTCTGGTTCGACGGTCTAGTCGAAGTCGAGCCAAGCTTCAGTCACTACCTGGGTACGTTTAATTTTGTCATTGTGTTGTCTCACAATTAACAAACACTAACTATTTATATACATCTATACATATATATATATTTAGACGCTCGAGCTGATATTGCTCACTCGCCGGACTTTGAGGCTGGATGCGTCAAGGTGCTCAATGGGGGAACTGCAGAGCTAAATCGCGCGGAAAAGGACATCCTACAGCCGTTCGAGCGAGGTAGCAGCGCTGATACCTCGCGCATGACAGACAACTCCGAAAATGAGTCGTTTGTCATGCAGCTCGAGCGCAAGCGAAAGCGCTCTCAGCAAGTTCAGGCGTATCACCTGCTAACCTCTGTACCTCCAGCCTCGAATATGGTGGAGAGGTTTTTTCAGCCTTGCTCGGATGACGTTCGGCCACGAGCGACATCGTTTGCACCCGTACACATTAGAGATGTTTCTCTTTCTACGTGTAAACACGACGTACTGGGACGTCCGCACTGTTGATTGCATGCTAAAACGACAGAGCTCGAGAGTAGAATCAGATCGCACTGTCAATAGTGCGATCTGATTCTGTCAACAGTGTGATCTGATTCTACTCTCGAGCTCTGTCGTTTTAGCATGCAATTTTAATAGGGCCATATTTCATTTTCAATTTTTTTCAATGCAAATAATTGATGTTACCTCCATTCGTACTGCAGTACCATAACTTATTTTCTTGTTCCCTCGTTGATTAAGTAAAATGCCGTATTCGGCATCCCTGCTCGTGCCTCTAAATCAGCACCTAAGGGCAATTGCAAGACGACCAGCTCCTGGGGAAATTTGCCCTAATGCAATGGCGCTGGGTCGGTCTTGTGATGCAGGCAGCAGCTTCCCCCTCCAAAGGGGGGGGGCAGGCTGCTTAGTGAAAACGACGGACTCGTCTGGCTGGAGTCGACGGAGTGGTGGGTTTGTTCCAGTATAGGAAGACGACGGTACCAACTCGGATACCACAAAGCCAAAAAAAAATGCCCGCCTTATCGTCATAGTCCTGGCTGATTGCACTTCAGGTATGATCCAAAGGAGGTATCCACATGCCAGCGGTCATGCGTCTTTCAACGCCGTAGTCACCGCGCAAAATGTCAAAATCACTTAGCTTTGCTTCCATCTCGTGATACAGCAGACGATTTTTGGATTTTCGGTCACGGTGAATCACTTTAGGACTCAAACGAGTGCAGGTCAGAGCTCCCGATTAATGCATAAGTACATTACTTGATGTAATGCATAATGTATGAGAGCTCGAGCGCGGTTGAAAATGCATGGTGTATGGGAAGAAAATTTATGCCTTCACACTTGAATACTAGTTTTTGTAAAAAAAAAAAGGCATGTGATTTCCATAAATGCCATTGTGAATGGACGGGTTTCTCATATTCAAATGCATAATGCATGGGAGCCTCGAAATTTGAGCTGCGATTAATGCTAGCCCTGGCCAATGCCTCGACCATATCGATTGTTGGCTTATGATCGTTCTATGTCTGTCCTCCCGGTAGTTTAGAGCTCCATCTAGCTGAAAAATCTTCCAGCGCATACCAAGGCACCCCGATCCGTGGGCCATTAGCGTAATTTCCCGGATAAAAAGCCGGGTCAAGGAGCTCTCTGTCTCTCGGTTCGCTAAAACCTTCTTGACATCCACTTGCCGACCGCAATACGTGCCAATGAAGATAAACCTCTACTAGTGGGTCGACCAAGCTTCATCTAGTCATAGGTGAGCCTATTCGTGACGATAACCGGGTCAGTTGGTAGCCGTTCACGCCGTCTCAAAATCCAATTTTGAAAAAAAAAAGTGAAATGGTTTCTGACGACCAATGTATTCTGGCAGTGATCCATTTCCAAGCCAATACGCACGAAAGTAAAATCGTAACTAGGTCGTCAGCAGACAGCACGAAGACGAGTGGATTCGTGCTGCTAGGACAAACGAGCTGGATACGCCGCTTAGTTACAATAACTTAAATAATCTGGAATTGCTTCACGGTCCTACATGTGCGACGTAAAATATTGCAGTGTGTGTTGCTGCGAGATGCATTCAGTAGATTTGCTGGCTGGATCTGCCTTGAAATTTTCCAAGACGTCAATTAGCTCGAACGTGGGTGCATTCTGGATATGTCGTTATAATTTGCAGGGCATGTGCATTGATATTAGCCAAACTGGTTCGTAAATTGCACTATACATACGATGAGCTGGCTTAGCAATTTTTCACGTTTAACGGTGTGATCGGAAACTCATTGAGCACGTTGTAGGACATATTGAGTAGAAGTAGTCATACTTCGAGTTTCACACAGTCTTCTAAATTTAGTACTATTCTTAAGTCGACGATGCACTGATATTCTAGCAAGTTGTTAATCCTTTCTTTGGTCGCAAAACCTAGCTTTATCGTCTTTTAGGAATAACCAAAAAGCCAACAATTGTGTGAACCTAAAGAGGAAGTTACAATTAAGAAGCAAAGAAAACGACCCATAAAATTGCCGGCGTGAAGCGCGAAATATGGACTTAACCCTTTCGCGAGGAGCACATATATTTTCTATGCTATACAGGTCAAGTCAATTAGAGCTAAAAGGGCGCAAAATTCGCCCTTTAAGGTATTGGTAAAGACGGGGATGGTGTGCAAATCAAGCTTGATGCAGCTTGATGTGGTGTATTTTGCCCTAAAAGTGCGAATTTTGCGCCCTTTAAGGTAGCATTATGATTGGCTAATAAGTGAACACTCAGACAGCTCGAGGTCGATTCTATTATGATTGGTCAAAATAATTCGGTACAGCGTACCACCGCTGAAATATAACGGCGAAACTTACGAAGATATTCGCGCTACTGACCATTTTCTGGATGATGACTTGTCGAAGGATGATGCCCACGCTGCTGCAGCTTCCGAAGTTCGCGCCATTATGTAGTATTGTGGTGTTGACCGGCGAGATCATGCCGCTTGTTTCCCGCGATAACATGTAAGCCGCTATACGTTTGTGAATGCTTTTGGAGATGCTGTTTCAAGCGTCACCTTTAGTTTTG